CTGTGCATGTGAGGGTTCTAGGGCAAAGAATCTGATGTAGGCCAGGTGCGGTGGCTCATGCACTTTGGGAGGGCAAGGCAGGCAGATCACGAGGTCAGGAGTTCGAGACCAGCTTGACCAACACGTGAAACCCCTGTCTCTCGTAAAAATGCAAAAATTAGCCAGGTGTGGTGGCACACTCCTGTAATCCCAGCTACTCAGAGGCTGAGGCAAGAGAATCACTTGAACCTGGGAGGCAGAGGTTGCAATGAGCCAAGATCACCCCACTGCACTCCAGCCTGGGCAACAGAGCAAGACTTCATCTCAAAAAAAAAAAAAAAAAAAAAAATCTGACGCCTGAACCATCCCCCCATTCCTACACTCAGCTCTTTTTTCTAATGTAAATGTCATATACTATTGTTTTATTTGACTAAGCTTCAGGACTGTTTTGTAAAGCAAGGTGGGATAGATGTGGCATGTGCCAGCCACAGTTTCCACCGTTTCCAGAGTGTGGAGAGGCAGCACCACTGCTCTCAAGGTTAATGACAACTCAATAAAGCATCGCTTTTATTTTTTGCAGTCTTCAATTTGAGAAAGGCAAGAAATAATGTTTTCAATAAATAAGGTTCATACCATTAAAATCCCCCTCCGCCCCCCCCACACCCATGGAAAAATTGTCTTCCACAAAAGCTGTCCCTGGTGCCAAAATGGTTAGGAACCGCTGCTCTACAGAAATAGAAACAGAAAAAAAAAATTACAAAATCTATATAGAACCACAAAAGACCCCAAAGAGCCAAAGCAATCCTGAACAAAAAGCACAAAGCTGAAGGCATCACACTACCCAACCTCAAAATCTACTACAAAGCAATAGTAACCCAATCAGTATGGTACTGACATAAAAATAGACACATAGACCGATGGAACAGAAACTCGCATATAAATCCATGCATTTACAGCCAACTCATTTTATGTTAGCACCAAAAGTACATACAACATACAATGAGGTGCCAAGAACATACAATGAGGAAAGGACAGTCTCTTCCAAGACAATGATCTGGGCAAAAATTTTTTGTATAAGATTTCAAAAGCACAGGCAACAAAAGCAAAAATAGACTAATAGGAATGTATCAAACTAAAAAGCTTCTGCACAGCAAAGGAAACAATCAACCAAGTGAAGAGACAACCCACAGAATGGGAGAAAATATTTGCAAAGTATCCATCTGACAAGGGATTAATAACCGGAATAAATAAAATAAGGAGCTCAAACAACTCAATAGCAAAAATACCATAAATAATTATATTTTAAAATGGGCAAATGTCACATGTGGTGGTGATTGCCTATAGTCCCAACTACTCAGGAGGCTGAAGCAGGAGGATTTTTTGGGGGGCGGGGGTTGGGGGATGGAGTCTCTCTCTGTTACCCAGATTGGAATACAGTGGTACGGTCTCAGCTCACGGCAGCCCCCACCTCCAGGGTTCTAGTGATTCTCCTGCCTCAACCTCCCAAGTAGCTGAGATTACAGGTGCTCACCACCATGCCAGGCTATTTTTTGTATTTTTAGTAGAAATAGGGTTTTGCTATATTGGCCAGGCTGGCCTCGAACTCCCGGCCGCTGGTGATCCACCTGCCTCAGCCTCCCAAAGTGCTGGGATTACAAGCCTCAGCCCCTACGCCCAGCCCCAACAGGACTGTTTGAGCCCAGTGTGATTCCAGCATTCAAAAAAAAAAAAAAAAAAAAAAGGAGGGGGACAAAAGATCAAAATAGACATTTCTTAAACCATACAAATGGCCAACAGCTATAAGAAAAAAATGCTCATCAGAGAAACACAAATCCAAACAATAAGATATCATACCAGTTAAGATTTCCTGTCAAAAAGACAGGAACTAACATGCTGGCAAGGATGCAGAGAAAGAATTCTCGTACACAGTTGGTAGGAATGTAAATTAGTACAGCCACTATGGAAAATTGTATGAAGTTTCCCCCAAACACTAAAAATAGAACTACAATATGATCCAGCAAATTCCACTACAGGGTATGTATCCAAAAGAAAGGAAATCAATGTATCAAAGAGATATATGCACTCTCATGTTTACTGCAACACTATTCACAATAGCCAAAATATGGAATCAGCCTAAGTGCCCGTCAATGGATGCATGGGTAAAGAAAATGTGGTGTGTGCATACACAATGGAATATCATTCAGCCATAAAAGGAATGAAATCCTGTTATTCTTAGCAACAAGGATGAAACTGTTGGTCACTGTGTTGACTGAACTAAGCCAAGCACAGAAAAGACAATATTACATGTTCTCACTCACATGTGGATGCTAAAAAACTGGATCTTATGGAGATGGAGGTAGATTGGTGGTTACCAGGGGCCAGAAAAGGTGGGGGGGGGGTGGGAGGATGAAGAGTTTGATTAGTGGACACAAATGTAGAAGAAATAAGACCTATGATAGATCAGTAGTGACTATAACATTTAATCTACTGTACATTTTAAAATAGGTAGAAGAGAATGATTCAAGTAATGTTCCTAGCATAGAGACAAGATAAATATTATGGTGATGGATATCCCAATAACTGATTTGATTTTTATACATTATATACATGTATTATCATATGTACTCTGAAAATACGTCTACTATTTATAAAAAAAAATGTCATCCATGAAATTCTGTATTATCTTTACAACTTACCTATAAATCTAAATCTATTCTAAAATAAAAAGTTCATGAGAACTCATCCATGGGAATTTAAGGTGGCTGAAGAGAGCTGAACACAGTACCATATAACAGGATATAGAAATGGTTTAAAGCTACTGAAATAAAAACTTTTAAAAAATAGATCAATATGGCCAGGGGTGGTGGCTCACGCCTATAATCCCAGCACTTTGGGAGGCCAGGTGGGTAGCTTCTTTGGGGTCAGGAATTTGAGATCAGCCTAGCCAACATGGTGAAACCCCATCTCTAGTAGAAAGACAAAAATTACTAGGGCCTAGTGGTGGGTGCCTGTAATCCCAGCTACTTGGGAGGCTGAGGCAGGAGAACTGCTTGAACCTGGGAGGCAAAGGTTGCAGTGAGCTGAGATTGCCCCACTGCACTCCAGGCTGGGCAGTGTCTTTCTCTCTTTCTCTTTCTCTTTCTCTCTCTCTCCCCCCCCCCGGTCTCTCTCTCTCTCTCTCTCTCTCTCTCTCTCTCTCTCTCTCACACACACACACACACACACACACACAATAGATCAATACATACACGGAAAAGGAAAAGGGCTGGAAGAAGAGGTAAGACTGATTCTATGTTGAGATGGGAGAGTTGCAGTTTAATTCCTCTTTTGCTTTTTATTTTCTATAATAGGAGAAAATAATGTACATATTACAAGTTTTTAAAAAATGTTTAAATAGGGGCCTTATGTTAGGCAAGGTGGTTCATGCCTACAATCCCAGCACTTTGGGAGGCTGTGGTAAGAGAATCACTTGAGGTCAGTTCAAGACCAGCCTAGACAACATAGTGAGGCTCCATCTGTACCAAAAATAATTAGCAAGGCATGGGGGAGTGTGCAGGTAGTCCTAGCTATTCAGGAGGCTGAGGTAGGAGGATCAGTTGAGTCAAGGCTGCAGGGAGCTATTACCACACCACTGCAATACAGCCTGGGTGACAAGAGACCCTGTCTATAAGCAAACAAACAGAGGGACTTACATGCATAATAAAAGTCCAGCTTTTTCAAAGAGGCCATGATAAGTCAATATCGGATTCTAAGCAGGAGTAATATGGCCAGTTTATATTTTTAAGATTGCTCTGGCAGCAGTGAAGGGTGATTTGGAGGAACAGTTAAGATGAGAAGAGACTACAGCAATAGTCCAGAAGAATAGAGGATAAATGATGTTGGTCTGGAACAGAGGGGAAATGACAGAAAGAGAAGTAAGAAATTATTTGGGAGATGTAATTGGGGACCTCAGACACCTTCCCAGCTGCTAATATGCAATCAACCTAAGTGTATTTGTGTGTTCTGGGTAAGGCTGCCTATCTTTCAACTTAGACTGGTCAGTCAGTATGTCCCATTCGCTGATGTCTTAAGCGTGAAAAGAAGTCGATTAGGTCCCTAAGACCCCCCGATACTACACACACAGTAGGAAGGTATTTTATAAAATCCTTTATGACTGGCGATCCTCACCTCCCCACCCAACACATAAAGACACATACCCATCTAGTCTTTGTCTTCATCACATTTCCAAAACTGGCCACATGTCAATCTGATTCACATAGAAAATAAACAAGAGAGGCCATCACATACACCAAATTATCAACATTCCTTTCACCATTTCTGCTCAATCTAGAAGACTCAGCTTGGAGTTTAGATTTTACGTTATTTGCAATATTATGAAAAGTAAGTTACTGACATTCACAAGGTGATAAACTACAAAAGAACCAAGTTTGTTTTCTTTTCCTTTTTAAATTTAGAATCTTGTTTATAACACATTAGCATCATTAACAGAAAAAAAACAACCATTTACATAGTAACTAAAAAACCAGCCACTTAAGAAAATAATGTAGTATTCATCCACTACCAGAGAAAGTAGGTCCTCTCATTTGATTTTACTGGCAAGCCCAGCTGTATTCTCAACTTTGAGAGAGTCTCTGTCCTGAATACGGCAAAGCATTCAAGTAAAAGGTAAGGAGTTTTAAGTGTGAGGTTCTGAGGGATACTGCCTCAAAGAAGGTTCACGAATAGCCACAGTCCTCCAGTTTACTCCAACGTTGAGATGTTCCTGGGATGACCAGCTTAGTTTCCTTTTGAGGAGTTTTCACAATTCATCAGCCTCAGGATTTGGGTTTTATAAAACATTCTTCCATGTTAAAAAAAAAAAAAAAAAGACTCTATCCCATAAAAACAGGTTTCTCATCGCTTCTCCAGCTTCTTGTATTTGGCTTCCAGTTTTTTTGAATATGCATCCAACTTGTAAGCTGCCTGCTCAAGAGCTGCTACCTGCTCTTCAATGACGTTGATCTGATCCAGGTAAGGCTGCNAAAAAAAAAAAAAAAAGACTCTATCCCATAAAAACAGGTTTCTCATCGCTTCTCCAGCTTCTTGTATTTGGCTTCTATGAGGGATGAAAGAAAGTTACATCTTTTAAAACTAGCTCTTACAAAGACAGTTTTTAGTTAGCATTTCTGGTCAAGTTAAAAATACCTATAATATTGCTAAAAATCTATTAGCTTCAATCTCATCATCTGTCCAAATATACAGGTCACTGATCTGTAAAACTTGGAAGAAGTCAAGCACAGACACCCAGAATTGAGAACCTAACACAGGTTTACAAGTCCTAACCCTGTCAACAGCACCTGCTTAGACAGCTCCACCAGGATGAGGCACATCTGTCACTTGACCTATCAGGAGCCTTAATAAAAACTGCTTCTCTCAGCACTGTCCCAGGTGCCCTCTGGAACCAGACTGGAACCCTTAGGAAGAATAAATGTATGTTTCCCCTTTTATGTTCTTATCCTTATACCTTTCGCCAGGAAAGCAATTTTGAAAGATACAGAAATTTAAAAGGCCATCAATAAGCCTCTTACTGTGACATTCCATTCTTCTGTTAAAACCATGAAAGCACCGGGTTTCACAATTTTAACGGAAAAAGGAACTCTGTCACAAATGGTTACTGTGAACTAAGATACCTTATACATGGTAAGGTTCACAGTAATCATTGGCCAAATGTAATTGTAGACAATGAAACTGATGGTTAATCACCACCCATATCAAATCCCAGCCTACTACAAACTACCCTCTTGAAGTAGTCCATCCACCCTTGCTAAAAGATGATACTAAAATAATCTGTAAATGTTATCTAGGACAAAAACAAACTCAGGCCAAATGTGGTAGCTCAGGCCTGTGATTCCAGCTACTCGAGAGGCTGAGGTGGGAGGACTGCTTGAGGACACAAGTTCGACACCAGCCTGGGCAACATAGCAAGGCCTTGTTTCAAAAGCAAAATTTTTGAAGTAGCTAGATGTGATGGTGCACACCTGTAGTCCCAGCTACTCAGGAGGCTGAGGCAGGAGGATCACTACAGCCCAGGAATTCAAGGCTACAGTGAGCTATGATCACACCACTGCACCCTAGCCTGGGTGATACAGCAAGACTTCATCTCTTATAAAAAACAAAACAACAACAACAAAAACCCACTAAACTCATTACTTTTAACCATGTGTATAAGAGCCAGAGCCAGGTAGCAAGCCATTGGCACTAAAAATACTAGTTTCTTCCTTAAAGGAAAAGTGATCCTTCAAGAAAACCCTCAACTGACTATTTGTTTAAGACATATTTATCTATATTATTATCATTTTTAAAATTTATTTTGTTTTTTTAAATAGAGATGGGGTTTCTCCATGTTGGCCAGGCTGGTCTCAAACTCCTGACCTCAGGTGATCCACCCACCTTGGCCTCCCAAAGTGCTGGGATTACAGGCGTGAGCCACCATGCCCAGCCCCTATCTACATTATTGAAGGTGCTCCAGCCTTCTCAACCACAAATAAAAACTTGAGCTTTGTAAGCAAACAGACCTGCTTAGAAATATGGCTCTTCCATGTACTAGCTTTGTGTCCTTAAGCAAGTTACTTATCCCCTTAAACCAGTTTCCTTGCCTACAAAATGGGGATAAAAATCATGTACTTGGCCGGGCGCGGTGGCTCAAGCCTGTAATCCCAGCACTTTGGGAGGCCGAGGCGGGTGGATCACGAGGTCAAGAGATCGAGACCATCCTGGTCAAC